TATATATATGTAATACAATAATTTGTATGGTAAAAATAATTTGTTTCTATCCTTTTTATTCAAAAGAAAAAAGAATTTTTTTAAATTTAAGCAAGAAACTGATTTATTTTATTATTATATTAGTTTTGAGCTAACGTGCCTGCAATATAGTTAAGCCCCCGTTCAAACAATCAAATTTTTAACTCATAGATGCAATCAACGGTCAAATTTTAACTCAACCCAATTCAAACAACAAAATTATGATGGTGATTACTTTAATTTATAATTTTACCTCTCAAAATGTAAGACGGTCACATTTACTTTAATATGAAGTTGAATTTTGATTTTTGTAACTAAGTTGTGTTGAATATTTTTAAATTTTTTAATGTAAATTTGATTGTGCTCTTTATCAAGTACCAAGACTAATTTTTGCTTTGTGTGTCTTCAACCTTAATATATTTTATGTGTTTATCGTCTGATTTTAATGTTAATTTCGTACTCATATAATTTTTTTGCTCGTGTGAAACCTTATGTACAAAGGGCATCACATTTGAAAATTCGCCTAAGATCTCTCAAAAATTTGAAAATCTCGTTGACAGCTGGGTAATCATTCTAATTTATATGTTATAAGAACACATAACAAATGACAAACTAGATGTATCATGTAAGATACAGTGATTAGATAATTCAAATTTCATGGCCACTGTTGGTTTTCTTTTTTTTTTTAACCAAGCCACTGTTGGTTCTCTGAGGTGAATTATATTATGTAAAATCAAGGAACTTTTATTAGCATGTATATTTTAGTTCAACTCACCATTGATTTGTGAATTGACTTATTTGAATCCTAAAATTACCGTTTCAACCTTTATATATTCATAGATAAATATATGTATATACATCCATATACATAGACAGACACATATACCGGCCAACATTGATTAGTATTTAAAATGTGAATCAATCTCCAGAAAAATCGCCAATTGCTGCCAAAAATATATACATACAAAGTCCTTGCAATAAAAGAGTTAAATGGGGGCGTTTATATGCGTGTGTGTATTAGTGTGAATTGACCTATTTGTGTGTGTATTAGGATTTTGTTCTATATATATATACACACACCTTGATGTATTTTGTTCTCCAATGAATATGTTGATATTAAAGCACAACAATCAATTATATATATACTGATTAGGGTTTCTTTAGTGTCTGTTTTAGGGATAATGGGCAAAAAAAACAAGGGTTTACAATTGAAATCATATGCAAAGTGAGAAGAGAGAGAGAGAGAAAATAAATAAATCTCCTCCATGCATGTTCTTCAATTTAAACAAAAATAATAGTTAATTCATTCAAATTCAAGCTATATTATAAATAATAATACACTATAACTCACAAAACAGATCCTTAATTGGGAATTTATGTGATTGTAGCAGCATTGAAGATATTAGGAATTCATTTGAAGATATAAGGCCATTCAATATATCAAATTACCGAATCCTGATATGAGATAAACGATGAGAAGCTTGAATTCTTGACAACCCTAACACATGATTGATAATTAACCCATCACCGCCACTAGACACCGCCTCTTGTGGAGACCACAACAATCCAGATTCTCACTATCCGCCAATCTCTCCTCACACTACCCCTCTGCACCCCACGTACTTCTCACCCTCAGCAGCTTAACTCCCACTGGAAATATAATGCATCACCGGCATGGAAGATAGATAGGGATGTCAATTTTTACCGCCCCGCCGGGGCCCCGCCCCGTTCCGCCCCGTTAATAACGGATATGGGAACACGTATTATACCGTTGGGGTGGACATGGATACAAATTTTGTACCCGTCGAGGGTCACGGGGCGGGTAAGGGTTCAATATACATATCCTAGGGGCCCCGCCCCGCCCCGCCCTGCATATAACTATATTTAATATATATATATATTAATAAGTTATTTTAGCGGCTTACCCAACCCATCTCTTACAATCCTAATTTGGGATGTAAACTTGGTATTAAATTTGCTTTTGTTTTGGTTATGGTGGAAGTTGGAGTTTAGAACTTCTTGTGATTTGGTTGTATTAAACTTTTATTTTTGTTTATTATGTTCTTTGAATTATGTTATGTGCATGTTATTTTTTTTATTTTTGTTAGAATACATAATTTTATTTATGTTGTGTCATTCCTAGGCTTTGCACATTTAAATAGCAGGAGTTTAAGTTCCAAAAAGTGGGAGAAAAAAATTTGTTAGTGGGGCGGGCACGGGGGCACAGTATTTCCTAACGGGGCGGGGTTGGATATCAAAATTCAACCCGTCGCGGGTCTCGGGGCGGGCATGGACTTGACAAAAATTAAAAGGGGCGGGGTGGGATTTAGGGAAACCCGCTCCAAACCCGCCTCGTTGCCATCCCTAAAGATAGAGGATGTTGGAAATAAAGGGAAAAGACGTTACTTTAATGATATGGGCATTTAGGTCATTTAGAAACTCTGATATTTTATATTAAAAATTAATTAAATATCAAGGGGCAATTTAGACATTTAACAATCCCTTTTAAGTCAAAAAGCTGCGAGGGGTGTGAGTGTCCAAAAGTTGACAAAGTTTAATCTACATGTCAATAAGGCAAACCTCAGGAAGTATTACGGTAATTAAACCTAAAATATATTATGGGTATAATAGCCCTTTCCCTTGTTTGTCTAATTGTGTGTATATTTTACAACAAAATAAATATTTCATTTATTATTATAAGTTAGAAAAATTACTATTCAAAATCTTATTTCAATATATTAAATTATTTTTCTTAAATCAAATACTTTTTTCACTCAAGAAATTCAAGAAAATATTGAACCCGGCCACTTTGTAACTATGTTTGGTCTTGTAGAATTAGGTTAACGGTATGTGACCAATCAAAAAATTTCAACTTAATTATAGTTCGTTACACTTTTAAAAATGAATTAATAAAAACAAGAAAGGAACCAACAGCTTGACAATTTGATGACCGAACAAAGCATGCATAAAAGATACTTCCTCACAAATTAACTACTTCAATTTTCCTTTCTCTGTTTCCAGCATGACAATCAACCAATTCTAGAAGAGTTATTTTCTTTTTTTCAACTAGTTGAAGAGTTTATTTATTTTATTTTATTTCCTAGTCGAAGAGTTTATGTTTTATACTAAAATTTGAATTATGAATCAAATAATGTCCATTACTGCATACTATAAAACATATTGTTTACATGACAGTACTTCTACAAAAATAATAATTTTCCATGCATTAAAGATCAAAAAATTTAATCTTTTTTTTTGCCACGCCAAATCATTTGCATCGGATGACTCTAGGGGTATAGTACGTGTAGGATGACTATAGACATTTCTTGCCACACCAAATCAAAAACATCATTTGCATCGAACATTACGAGATAGTGTGTACTTGGTCCTTATCCTTGTTATTTATGGCTGAGGAGGACAAGCAACCTCAACCTGATGACGAATTTTGATCTGGTTAACTAATTCTTTATTTCTATCTTTTTTCTTTTTTGTGACATTTTAATTTAGATTAAGCAGGCAATTAGGCAAAGTGGGTGTGGAGTGGTGTATTTCTTGCCAATGACAGGAAAAATAATAATAATAATAATAAGGTTTTGGTCATGGTGGTGGCTCCTGAGTTTCTTCTAGCAGGTGTATCTTATTTAGCGAGGAGGGAGGCTTGGCTTCCGCCTTAATGCAACAGAGCGAATGTTATAACAAAAGAAGTATCAACTCGCCCCCGGGGGTCTAGCAGTTATGGTAAGGTGTTGGCCTTGGTAACTGATTCACTCGGGTTCGAGCCTTACCCCCTGCTAGTTCTTTGACTCATCCTGGTACTGTGGTATGTGGGGCCGGCTGTAGTATCTCCAGTTTGGTGCCCCAGAAGAGTCTTGTCTTGGGGAGTTCTGGGTTTTAAAAAAAAAAAAAAAAAATGTATCAACTCATTTGTTTCCGGTTTAATTTGATGTTATTTATCAATTATTCTTTGCTATTGTCACATTGAAGCATGCAATTTCACAAAAAAATAAAAATAAAAAATAATAATAATAATAATTAAAAATGAGTACAACAACGAATCAAACAACGGCCTTTGTTGCCCCCAGGGGCTTGGATGAGATGGTAAGGTGTTTGGTTTGGGCACTAATCAGCCCAGGTTCGAGCCTTGCCACCTCCTTTATCACCTTTGACTAATCTGGTGTTGTGGCTGTGGGGTCGGCTGTAGTATAACCAGTTTGGTGCCTTTGGGGTGGGTCCGAATGGCCCTGCCTAGGGGAGTTTCTTGGTCATCAAAAAAAATAAAAATAAAAATAAAAAATAATAATAATGGCCTTTGTTTCTATCTGCTGTCTAACCTGTCTCTCTCTCTACTGCATCAACAATAAGAAGAAACAGCTGTCTCTGCGATGCATATCTGAAGGAATTTTAGTTTGTGGAACATGACCTATTCGGGAAGACGATGAATGAATTAGATATTGGCCGTGCAGTTGTGGGTACCAGACCACCAAATTATACCTAAAATCGTTACATCCACAGAGACATGCATCCACATATAAAATACATTCAACTTCTCAAAACAGTGAACTATGATGCATAACAGTACCATATACCTAAAATCTAAACAAACAAGTCTCCACATATAAAATTTCATTCTGAAATTCAAATTCTCAAAACAGTTTACTATGCACAAAAATAACAAAGTCACTTTTTCAACCACTAAATAGCTCTCACAAGAAGTTCTACCCTACTTTTTTTAATCTCTCCTTAATCCAAGTAACATCATCCTGAAAGGCTTTAAAATCCCTCTCCAGAGCTTTGAATCTGCCCAGTGTAACTGGGGCATCATCCTTCTCATAAGCAGATATCATTGCCACACCGCAGGATATCTCATCCCCTGTTACTTCTTGATGCTCAGTAGCCTTCGCCTTCTCCTTCTCCTGAGCATATCTCATAGCCACACCACAAGCCATAACAAATTCAGGCTTCAACCTCATTTACAGCTCACTCTAAAACTGTGCCTGTACCACTTCTCGAAGTTTGGGAATGTTTGAACATCCCCCAACCAACACAATCTCATGCAGGCGGCTATACTTGTCATTCGCAAACTTCCTCAAATAACACCTTATAATTTTAACCAAAGGCTCGAAAAGATACCCATTGAGCTCCTCAAACTTGGGGCGTGTGAAGGAGGTGCTATAATCAACCGACTCTAACAATTGTTTCACCTCGACCTTGACAATATCATTTGATGACAGTGAAAATTTTGCCTTCTCGCATGGGATGAGTAGTCGATTGATCACAGCCATGTTAGCATAGACACCACTATACCTCTTATTGAACTCATCCAGAATGTGATGCGCCATATTCATGTCCATGCTTTCACCACAAATTTATTTATTTTACCAAGAGCTATATTTTGAAAATTCATTAATTTCTAAGAATTGTTATATGAAAACAAAGTTTTAAAAAAAATTTGAGTTTCAAACAAAAAAAAAAAAAAAGAAGTTCAATACAAACAAACAAAAATTCATTATATTTCCTGCTTTTTATTTTTTTTAAAGTTACTTTTTTTTATAAAAAAAAAAAAAAAAAAAAAAAAAAAAAAAAAAAAAAAAAAACACACAGATTTTGAAAATTGGTCTGCTACGATTTCCCAAAATGTTTTGGACCTTTGATCTATCGGCCCGAAGTAAAAAAAGAAAACAAAAAAAAAAAAAATGGAAACGATCCGTTTTGGGGATCGCTAGGCTCATCATCAGATACCACGTGCAGTACCAAGAGCCCCCTACTGGCCCCACTATCATACTTTGAGGAGGCCAGTGCAGATGCCCTAATAACTTTAATAAGTTCTAAGTCAACTTTCAGTTAGTGATCCTTCAAACCACCAGAAGGTCTAAAGCCCTAAACAAAGTTTGACTTGGAACTAATTTCTTGTTCAGTCCCAGAAAAAGTACTAAGCAATAAAGGCCCATTTGAACATAGGCCTACGTTGATGGGCGCGAATCCCAATGTTGTTCCTTATTCTGCAGTCCCCAGCAATTCAGTGATGAAAGGCCTCGATAAAAGCTAACAAATACAAAAGTTAGCCCTAAACCAAACCAATCAAACAAAACACGAACCCTAAAAAGAAAAGAAAATGAAAAAGAGACGGCCAAAGAACCCTAAATTCTCTGGGTTTCGAACAAAAAAACGAAAGTCAAAATTCAGCGGGTTTGTTTGTCGCGATCTTTATCGGCCTTAGTTTGGTGTGCTGTCAAATTCCTGCTTGATTTTGGGTTTTTCTTTGACCACGGTCTGCTTTGCTTCTGGGTTCTTCTCCCTGAATGGCTTTAAAATCCCTCTCCAGAGCTTCGAATCTGCCTAGTGTAACCGAGGCATCATCCTTCTCATAAGCAGATATCATTGCCACACTGCAGGATATCTCATCCCCTGTTACTTCTTGATGCTCAGTAGCCTTCGCCTTCTCCTTCTCCTGAGCATATCTCATAGCCACACCACAAGCCATAACAAATTCAGGCTTCAACCTCATTTACAGCTCACTCTAAAACTGTGCCTGTACCACTTCTCGAAGTTTGGGAATGTTTGAACATCCCCCAACCAACACAATCTCATGCAGGCGGCTATACTTGTCATTCGCAAACTTCCTCAAATAACACCTTATAATTTTAACCAAAGGCTCGAAAAGATACCCATTGAGCTCCTCAAACTTGGGGCGTGTGAAGGAGGTGCTATAATCAACCGACTCTAACAATTGTTTCACCTCGACCTTGACAATATCATTTGATGACAGTGAAAATTTTGCCTTCTCGCATGGGATGAGTAGTCGATTGATCACAGCCGTGTTAGCATAGACACCACTATACCTCTTATTGAACTCATCCAGAATGTGATGCGCCATATTCATGTCCATGCTTTCACCACAAATTTATTTATTTTACCAAGAGCTATATTTTGAAAATTCATTAATTTCTAAGAATTGTTATATGAAAACAAAGTTTTAAAAAAAATTTGAGTTTCAAACAAAAAAAAAAAAAAAAAAAAAAAAAACCGAAGTTCAATACAAACAAACAAAAATTCATTATTCATTTCCTGCTTTTTATTTTTTTTAAAGTTACTTTTTTTTCTACTGAATTTTTTTTTTTTTAATAAAAGGGCCAAAAATTTAAAAAAAGAAAAAAAAAACACAGATTTTGAAAATTGGTCTACTACGATTGCCCAAAATGTTTTGGACCGTTGATCTATCAGCCCGAAGTAAAAAAAGAAAACAAAAAAAAAAAAAAAAAAAATGGAAACGATCCGTTTTGGGGATCGCTAGGCTCATCATCAGATACCACGTGCAGTACCAAGAGCCCCCTACTGGGCCCCACTATCATACTTTGAGGAGGCCAGTGTAGATGCCCTAATAACTTTAATAAGTTTTAAGTCAACTTTCAGTTAGTGATCCTTCAAACCACTAGAAGGTTTGAAGCCCTAAACAAAGTTTAACTTGGAACTAATTTCTTGTTCAGTCCCAAAAAAAAGTACTAAGCAATAAAGGCCCATTTGAACATGGGCCTACGTTGATGGGCGCGAATCCCCATGTTATTCCTTATCCTGCAGTCCCCAGCAATTCAATGATGAAAGGCCTTGATTTGGCCACGTCTGATCTAGTTTATAATATGTACGTGGGCTCCACTAAAATAATATAAAACACATTATTCCGTTAACATTCGCCTCCGGGAACTTATATTGTAAATTATTACATAAAAAATAAATAAATAAATAAAATAAAATAAACTCTAAAAATAAAGCTAACCAATACAAAAGTTAGCCCTAAACCAAACCAACCAACCAAACAAAACACGAACCCTAAAAAGAAAAGAAAATGAAAAAGAGGTGGCCAAAGAACCCTAAATTCTATGGGTTTCGAACAAAGAAACGAAAATCAAAATTCAGCGGGTTTGTTGGTCGCGATCTTTATCGGCCTTGGTTTGTTGTGCCGTCAAATTCCTGCGCCGTGATTTTGGGTTCTTCTCTGGCCACGGTTTGCTTCGCTTCTGGGTTCTTCTCTGGTATTGCCGAATTTGGTAGGTTGTAGGTTTTTGGATTTGAGTTGATGTTGATTGCATTGGTAAATATTTTGACATGCATCAAAACATCTCTGCTGATACAATTTTAAATAATTTCATTTTATCTGCATAAAAAAGTTTTGAAATTGTTATAAGAGACATGCTTACTTTAAGGTTGTTTCAAGTCCATTCTAATTACTTTACAACTATCGTATTCAATCTGTTTGCCTTTTGGTTGTTAGTTTCTCTTACAATCTGTTTGCCTTTTGGTTGTTAGTCCCTTCTATTTTAGAGATTTCTGTTATTTGTTCTTCTGTTAGTTAAGCTTCAGGCATTTATGCTGAATTTTGAGAATCTATTATATACGGTTTCACTTTCAATCAATAATATATGTATATTTATATATAGTTCTTATGTTATTTCTGTATGCATCATTTCCTGTTTAGAATTGGGACAATTGCACTGACCTCCTCTAAGCATATCAGAGAAAGAGAAGATGCAATGATAAAAAAAAATAAAATAAAATAAAATAAAAGAGTGAAAGAAAAAGAGAACTTTTAATGAGATAGTTCAATCTTGTATTTTGACAAAGGCAATGTTTTTTAGTTTAGTCTGCCGGCTCTGGACCAGAAAGACCTAACGGAGTAATACCTTATTCATAGTTAGTATGGTGATTTTGCAAGCTCTGTTAGCAGAGTTAGGTGGTGTTTGATAAAAGTGCAAGTTAAGTATTGAAAATTCTAATAACTGAATTTTAAGTGTTGGTGCTTTAAGCTGCAATATGAAATTGTTTTTATTTTTAAAGAAAATTATATATTTTATTGGATTTTAAGTGTTCAACATTCACTGGTAACTCATAAGTGAAGTCATTGCCACTTAAAATTTTACACAAATTTAAGCAACACTTATATTAAAAGTGATTCAAAATGCAATATCAACCACACTTGATTCGATGAACACTTAAATCAATTCAGTAGTAAGTGTTGAATTGGGCTATAAAACAAAATCTTAGTCTGAAATCACTGACAAGTGAGGTCAGTGTTATTTTTAAAGAGTGAAGGAAGATCAACGTCAGTGTCTATTCCATTGAAAGTTTGATAGTCCCATTTTTTTTTTTTTTTTTTTTTTTGTCGTTGTTGTTTTTTGTAGAGACCAGCTTGTTATGACGAATTACGGTCCTCTGTTTTAGGGGTTTAGGGTTTTTCTTTCCAAGCTGGGTAGCTAGCTTACTAAGGGTTTAGGATCTCTATCGGAAACAATTGAACAACTTGATTTATTTATTTATCTATTCAGTTGGGATTTCTGTCAAGGTTTGAAGATGAGGGCTTCATCTTTTGGTAATGATCTGTGAAGGAAGGGGGGGGGGGGGGGGGGGGGGGGGGGGGGGTGGGGGGGTTACTTGTTCTTCAACTAATTTAAGATACTGAGTGAAATATGATTTCGGGTCTTGGGGATGCTTTCTACTTCTCAAAAAAATAAGTGTTCCTCATGTTTTTCTGGGGATGGAATTCGAAGCCACGGTAATGTGATTAGAAGCATCAATTGTTGTTTTGATCTCTAAATTGTCAGGATAGACAAACGGAGTTTGATAATATGTTGGTGGATGGTGGATTATTTATATCCACTTCTAGATAACATGCTTGCAATTTGCTCTGTCTAATACACTAACTGAAGGGTAACAGGTTTGTGGAATCTTTGGAGTTGTATTTGGTGAGGGTTGGTATCTTAGTGGATATTGAAATATGTTTAGGATGCATTACGTACTTTGCAAGTTGTGTAGGACTTCACCTTCCGAAAAAAAAAAAAAAAAAAAAAAAAAAAAAAAAAAAAAAAAAAAAATTGGGTAGGACTTCAGGAGTAACTCAAAACTGGGTTTGTACCTTGAGGACTGTTTTGTTGAACTTGCAGTTTGGTCATGATGAGAACATGAAGATTTTGGTGAGGTCATTGGATCACTCTGTTGAGTTGCTCTAAACTAGATTCCGTGATTAAGAGGTTCTCTTTCTGTGATGCCACATGGAAAGTGATAAAATAACTATTTTTGAATCGCATAAGGATTGTAAGTCTGTGGTCTCAAGTAAAGAAACAAGAACTTTAAGATAAATATTGTATATATTTGTAAGGAACCCAGGAATACTTGCTACTATGGCTGCAGTTGCAAAGAACAAACTTGATATTCTTTAAAAATGTAAACAACAATTCTGAATACAAAAAAGTCAGCATTCCAAAGAAATAAAACAAAATCTGAAGAAGAAACTTTGCTTGGCATCTGCCCTATATCATGTAGTTAGTTACTATGGGTTAGGAACAACCCA